AAAATTAGGATCCGGTTAATAATAACTAATAAGTAAGTGTTTGCCTCGCATGGATAGCTTATAGATGTAATATAAGAAGCTCAGCATTGAAACGTAGTAAAAGGGGGCTTTGCCCACACGAGAAATTCGCGAATTCGCGCTGGCCCACCTGAGAATGGGATTGGGATGTTCGACGAGCCTTGCAATACTCTCCATGACGGCCATTAAGTTTGCAGCAAGGTTCAGCTGTCGAATTTCGTAAAGTTTGACGAAGCTTTGGGGGGAATGTCCACCAATCAGTACAACGTCAAGCAAGGCAGCGCAACGTGGAAATAGGGATGAGATGTTGGCTGAGCACCAAATGTATGGTGAAGGCGATGCTGATAGGATTGAGGTCATGAAAGGGGCCAACTATGATATGGACGTTAATTACCATTAGAATATGGCAATTGATGAAAAATACTGGATTGATCAAAAGTCCATATTCGTAGAGCTTTGCAAGTTGGAGCGAGTGTTCCTTCCCGCGTCCCTCAGCTCCTTCCTGGTGCAACGTTCGGACCCACTTGGCGCGGTGTTAAGCTTCTGGCCCTTTCTCGCTAGTTTATCCATAAGGGACAGCGCTAGGTAGTAAACGGCAGGTGAATAAACGAATAGCGGGTCTTCGGCGTTAGGCTGCCGGATCGCGGGGATGCTTCTAGCGGGGTGTATCTGGGTACCTTATTGCACGGTTCTTGACTGCTTCATTTCTTCCCAGGTTCTTTTTCTGATAATAAGTTTCTTTTTGTGCCATCGCATCATGAGCGCGACAACCCTGGCTCGATAAGAAGATGAATACCCTCTTATCAACACCACTCCGTCCCATTGTTGACTACTTACCTTACTGGTTCTCGCCCTTTGGTAAGATTTCTCAGGTCTTGCTAATCGCCGTTGCGCGTCTCCAGGCGATTATTCAACAAGTGGTCAGCACTTGGAACTCTATTCCTACCCATCACCTTGCCAAGACTTGCCAATGAAATGACCCGAAAGCTCATGGTCGGCCATCGGGCGAAAACTAGCAGGCCTGGATCCCGTCTCGTACCTCTTGCATCTAGGCGGCAGCAGTGAGACACGCATCTCGACCTTCACCAGCTTCAGCTTCAGCTTCCTTGCTTCAGACAAGGGCCTCAATCATTTACGAAGTCCAATAACGGAATAGACCGTCTCGGCTACTCTTGATCAAAGCAGTCATCGTCACATCGGCCGCTACCGCATCTGCCGGTGCAAGATCGATTGGGTCAATTCTTCGATGGTCATCCAGGACGGATTCACAGAGCACAAGTTTCATCGCGAACTTTACTACACCAAGCCTGGCACAAAGCGTAGGAGCAAGTTCGATGAGATGGGCCGTCTACGAATACCTACCGTAGGTACACGATGCGCCTCGGCTGGTCTCCCCAGCCAGCCACACATGGACGGTGGACGGGCCATAGGGTTGGCCGCTGTTTCCACTCGAGATCGCCGGCATTCAAGGGGGGTCCCATCTATGATGGTTGATCTGGGTCGAGCCATGTTATGGGCTGTTACCTAGGCACAAGCCACTCGGCATCGCCCCTGAGAAAGCTTACTTCTCGCCGCTCGACCGTTCCCGCATGTATTCGTGCTACCCAGCCACTCAACGTTGTGCACTGCAATTTGTCAATAATCGGCCTCCCTTTTCAACTTATCTCGCCTCTATCTCCCCAGACTGCACGATAAGCCTTACTATGCGTACCTTACCTCGCCTTTCCGAGTGGACCAGCGAGGATCATACAATGATATTCCGTACAAGTCAGAGATCGGACGGCCCGTCCCACGTAGCGGGTAGCGTACGATGGCTCTAGTAGTTCGGCGACGACTCCTCAGAGAAACAAATTGCCAGCGCGTTTCTGCTGATTGCCAAGACCCTGGGCAGGGTGTTTCGCAGCATGCCCATGCCTAGCTCTCCGAAGCATCTCTTTCTGATATGCAGAATCGGCGCTTCTGCAGGCTGACAAGTCGGTTGTTGAATGCAACGCCAAATCTGTACCTATGGCCGTCGCACAAGTGTTATCTGATATTGCCAGCCACTGCAAGAGAAGTGACCAGTTGCAGCTTTTTCCATCCCAAGACATGGCGTACAATGTCACCCACCAGGATCGTCTTATCGTCTGCCTCCTCGGATCCTACATATTTCGTCCGTCGTGTCGCATTTCACAGACGTCTTGGGCCGGACTGTTACTGTCTTGCTTTCTGTTTCGAAATTGATCCTCCTCTTTCCTCAAACTTTCGTTTTCAGCGTTTCTAGCGGTCTGCTGTTTGAGTGACATCCGCGCTTCGATATCACACATTCCACGCTTTCTTGTACCAGCCAGGTACATACAGCCGACTATCCTGGCTGCGAGACCTGCAATGAAGGCAACTGTTGCACCAGATAGAGTTGCGGAGTCGGCTTCTGCATCCGATGACGAGACCGTAGTCGCCGTCCAAGATGGGGTCCGGTTGAACGCCGCGGGCCACAGGGATCAACTAAATCGCCAATATGGATTCTTTGGACTGGCAAGCATGGCTCTGACGGTGGACAACGCCTGGGTCGCCTTGGGCTCGTCTATTTCCGTGTCCATTCGTAAGTTTAAGCCGCCTGTTGCTTGCAAGTCGGACGTTGTAACGAGCCGGGATCAATCTAGTCAACGGTGGCCCACCCGGTATCATCTACGGCCTTCTCGTCGCCGTCTTCTACTACTCCCTCATCGGTTTGAGTTTATCAGAGGTATGGTTTTCTCATCCCAGTCCTTTCTTTCCCTCTCTTATTTCGCAAACACTGTGAATCACGACGCCTAACACCTTTCTCCAAGCTCGCGTCATCAGTCCCCACGGCTGGCGGCGTCTACCACTGGGCCACCATCGCCGGCGGTCCTCGCTGGGGCCGAGTCCTCGGCTTCTTCACCGGGTGGATCAACTTCTACGGCTGGCTCTTCTCGCTCGCGGCCCTGCTGCAGATCTCGAGCAATGTCGCCGTGAGCATGTACGCCGTCTGGAACTGGGACACCTACGTCAGCCAGCCCTTCCACGTCTTCATCGGATACCTCATCATCCTCTGGGGGTGCGCGGGCTTCATTGTATTTGCCAATAAGTACGCTCCGTATACCCAGCAAGCCGGAACACTCTTCGTCTTGATCGGCGGCGTCGTCACCATTATCGTGCTGGTCGCTATGCCGAAGCAACACGCGAGCAATCACTTTGTATGGGGCTCTTTCGACGAGAACAATGCTACGGGCTGGTCAGGAGGCGTTGCCTTTCTCCTAGGCGTTCTCAATGGCGCCTTCACGATCGGGACGCCTGATTCGGTCACGCACATGGCTGAAGAGATGCCGCATCCCACAAAGGATCTCCCAAAGGCGATTCTCTTGCAGATATCCCTGGGCTTCGTCTGTTAGTCAACAGTCTGTCAACATGTTGAACCCACAACTGACTTTTGATAGATGCCTTTTGCTTCGCCGTTGCGTTGTCGTACGCCATCACGGACATTACAGCTCTCCAAGGCGGTTTCAACTCCTTCCCGCTGACCAACATTTACGTGCAAGCCACGACGAGCAGCAGTGGAATCCGGAACCCAGGCGCAGCGTTTGGTCTGCTCTTCATCATGCTGGGCTGTACGCTGACGTGCTGTGTGGGCTTGACTTTGACCGTAAGCCGCCCATGCAATGAGACCCGGCGATGTCCCAATTGCTAACTGTTTCTCAGGTTTCACGGACTTACTGGGCGCTCGCACGCGACAATGCTGTGCCCTTATCAAATGTCTTCGCGCAGGTCAACGAGCGCCTGAGTTGCCCTGTCTGGTCAACCTTGTTTGTCTGTACGTTGCCATGTGCTCGTCCTTCCTCATCCTCAATCGTCTAAAGACTAATATGAATATTGATTTAGGTGTCGTCGCAACCGGACTGGGAGCCATACCGCTCGGTAGCTCCGCGGCTTTCCTAGCACTGGCAAGCTCGTTCATCATCCTCACATCCGTCTCATACGCCATCCCATTCGCAGCAAACATGCTCTCGGGGCGGAAGTACTTCCCTCGCGGACCCTTCCACCTGGGCAAGGCGGGGTACATCATCAACGGACTGGCCGTGCTATTCATCATCTTATTTGATATCATGTTCTGTTTCCGTAAGTTTTTGTTCCTTCCAAAACTTTGGCCACACCCTGACGTGAGCATTAGCATTCGTGCTGCCCACGACAGTAGCGACGATGAACTGGAGTGCCGTCATCTTGGTGGGAACGGTGGCGATCACGGGGCTTTGGTGGGTGGTCCACGCGGTTCATCATTATCCTGGACCCAAGGTGATGGAGCTTTACATTGCCACAGACGGTGTAAGCCCAGTTGTTACAGAGAAGAACACGACGGCTGTGGCTTCGTCGGAGTTGAAAGAACCTCACGCATCGCAATAATGGAGATACTGGAGCTTATTAGAGTGAGCGGTAATGGATGAAACTAAAGACCTGATGTATTCAGTTTATCTAGGCTATTATTGAAGCTAATTGAGAGGAAGAATCCAAGACCATTTGTTGATGTATTCATCAAAGCAGACCGAAAACCACACCGAGAGCTCCGTCGAAGAGCGGTGAATTGCCCAATCAAACACAACCAAACTCATCTTACGATAAGGTACGTACCCCGGAATGGATGCGTCATGGGCCCTTGCCGTGCTTATCGATAAGAATTCCATCGTTTGCCGCAACGAATCTCGAGCTTCCTCGGTCGCATTTCTCTCTTTCCCACCAATTCTCCCAAAGCGATTCTCCCGTGTTTGCCTCTCGACTTTGGCCCGCCCGCCCGTCCGCCCGTCCGCCCGTCCGCCCGTCCGCCTTCCCACCACCACACGAACAAGATTCGACACAATGGGCTCATCCTCTTCAAAAGCCGCGCAAGGCGCCGCGCGCAAATTCCCGACCCGCGCCCCGGGCGCCGTACCACCACCGTCCTCCGCCGCGAGAACAGCTCACGCTGCCCCTCCGACGCAGCCCGCGCAGGCCCGGTCACAGGCGAAGACGGCGACACTCAAACCAGAAGGTCAGTATTCCCTTTGACATGCAGACTTCTTGTACGATCATGACCCCAAAGCTGACCACCACAACCCAGACCTCACAGCTAACACCACTACCACCACAAACCCCGAAGTCACCGCCGAATTCTCCTCGCGCCTCCGCCAAATGGGCATCGTCCAGCCCAACCCAACCTTCTCCTCCACATCAACAGCCAGTCCCGGCCCCGGCCCCGGCCCGAGTCCTCACGCCGACCTAATCCAGAACCCCGGCCCTCTATTCCCCTCCACCTCCCGCAACGCAACACTCGGCACCCTCGAAGCCCGGCGCCGGCTCCAGCAGGAGGCCGACGCCGAATTTGACGGGCTTGGACGCAGCAGTAGCGGCGGGAGGGAGTTTTTGGATTTGAAGACGATTGTTCAGATGCACCTGATGCGCGAGAGGGGATACTCGCCCGCGGAGATTGAGGCGAGGCTGGAATTGAAGGCTGGGGTTGTGGCGAGGTTGGGTCGGGTTGGGATCACGTCGCCTGCTTGATGAGGCAAATCACACATGAAGAAGTGGTTTGTTGATGGAAAGATTTGAAGGATGTATAAAAAAAGATGTAATTTTAGGTATACTGCTCTACGAAAACCGCAAAAAAAAAGCTCCCAAACTCCTCCAATAGTCTTGAAAAATAATTAACGACTAATCATCAAAAGAAAAAAAAGACCCAAAAAGACCCAAAAAGAAAAGTCATCAAAAATCGCTTTTTCCTTTTTCCAGTCATTACTCTTCCGCATCTTACCAGGCGCAGTGCCCGCCATCGATGCGCAGGTCACTGCCCGTCATGAAGCTGCTGGCGTCGCTGAGCAGGAACACGGCGGCGCCGCGGTACTCGCCGGGCTGGCTGAGCCTGTTGAGCATGTTGTGCTTGGGCCACTCGATCTTGCGCTCCGGGTAGGTCTCGAAGAGCGCCTCGACCATGGCGGTGACGATGTAGCCGGGCGAGATGGTGTTGACGCGGATGCCGTGGGCGCCCCATTCGGCAGCCAGGTTACGACTGAGCTGGAGAACGGCGGCCTTGGAGGCATTGTATGCGCTGTAGTTGCGTCGTCAGTCCAAAACTGTCTACTTGCGGAGTTTGTATATGTGGTAAAAAGACTTACGGGCAGATCAACCCCCTGTTGGCAACGGTACCGCTCATGCTAGCAATCAAGACGATGCTGCCGCCGGTGCCCAGGCGAACCATCTGGCGCGCGACGGCCTGGGCGGTCATGAAGGAGCCCGTGACGTTGACGCCCATCATGCGGTCGACGTCCTCGGCCTTGTACTCGAGCGCGGGGGTCTCCTGCTGGATGCCCGCGGCGGCGATGAGGCCGTCCATGCGGCCGTGCTGGTTGGCGATGCCCTCGACGATGTCGTTGAGCTGGGCGACGTCGCGGACGTCGACCTGGTGGTAGGAGAGGCTTGTGCCGAGCTCGGCGTTGGCGCGGAGGGCGACCTTTTCAAAATCGGGGTCGGGGGTCGGGAGGCGATCGATTGCGTGGACTAAGGGGTTCGGTGTTAGTATTTGGCTGTGTATTGATGTATGACACATATGGAGAGTTTGTATCCCCAAGGAAGGGAGATATAGAGAGGGTTGCTAGGTAGAATCGCTTGTTTACCTATTGCGCCAGCTTCGAGGAGAGCCTCAGCCTGCGTGAGGCCGAGTCCGCGCGCGCCGCCGGAGACGACAATGACCTTGCCCTGAAGGCTGAACTCGGGGAGGCCGCGGGCGACCTGGGGTGTCGTGGCGCCGAGGCCGAGGGACTTGGGGGTCGAGTGGAAGCTCCTCTCCTGCGCGACGAGGGGGTTCGCGGGGGCCACGACGGGGGCTTCGACGGGTTGCACTGCGAGTCTGGGAAGTTTCCTTTGGGTCAGATGAGGTACAATTAGACGGAGCGGCCGGACGCGGGTTAGGTACCGTGACATGTTGCTGCTGGCTTCAACGAGAGCTGCGGGAGACATTTCTGCTGTGTTTTTGGTGTGTGTGTGTGTGTGTGTGTGTGTGTGTGTGGATAGGCTTCCGGGTTTGGAGAATGGAAGGGAAGAGGCCTTTCTTCTCTTGTTGGCTTCTTCGAGTATTACGTTGCTGCGGTTGGTTCCGTTGGAGTAGGTTGATGACGGAGGTGGTTGATGGCTAGTTAAGACTAAGACGGACCGAGATAGGAGGGTGTATTGGACCAAAGGTGTTGATGGTTGGTAGTCAATGGGACTGGTAGAGCTTGTTGGTTGTCTATAAGACGAGAGGAGTGATGATGATGATGATGAAAAGTGTGTGTGATAGTGAAGAGAGACTAAGAGGTTAGGACACCATCGTGAAGTCGTCCTCTTATACATCGTCGAGCTCTACCTTTCACCCTTTTTCTGATGGGCTGAGCTTCCCCCGCACCCACCACCACAAACCCACGTCTCGTCTCATTGCCTCCCACGCCTCTTTCTCTCTCACCCCCCCCTCCTCACCGTCTAAGTTCTTCCCGTCATGCCATGACCCTTGGCCCATGCCCCCATGGTAAGATCAAGATCAGCAATCCCGAGCACAATGGGCATCCGTTTAGCAACCAACTGGCTAGCGCCGGCCGAGGCGGGCGAAGGAACAAGGGGATGGGATTGGACTGATGGGGAGCTTGCGTTATGGTGAGCTGTCTAGGATTGTCTATACTAGGTCGTAGGTATCGCTCTGCCGGTTCCGGAAATGGACTGGTGACGAGACGTCGGGCTCGGTCGTGTGCCGTCAAGTTACCAAGTACTGCAGTGTATCTAGTGTCTAGTAAGTATGGGTGTGTGAGTGTGAGTGTGTGTGTGTGTGTGTGCAATAGGTATCCGTAGTGTCAAGCTCGAAGCTCCCTTCGCCTCATCTTTTCTTAGAAACGGAACCCCTGGCACCACTTCTTTCTTTTTCTTTTTGCTGCTCGTTGGAGTCTCTGCGGGACCTGCAAAAATCTAAGGTTTGTTCATCCACGCCGGCGGGTACGTTTCGTTGCATGCCATGGGCAGCATGTGCAGCAAAGGGCTCCAGATTTCTCTCCCTCATCGAGACCTCATCGAGGGCTAGAACCTTCAAAGATGGGTCTGCGATGTCCGAGACAGGTCATGCGGGATGTCAGATTTCAGAATAGAGATTGGAACGCCCCCGCCTTGCCCCCGTGTTCCCGTGTCTCTGTCTCTCTGTGTGGTCCTCCCCCTCCCCTGGTTCCAAGCTGCTTCCAAAAGCTCCGGGAAAGCAGTTGGATGCGCTCCCGCGTGAGAGAGAGTCTAGTCTATGCTGGGGGAAGAACATGGGAACATGGGGGCGGGCAATCGGGAATACTCCACCTTTGGACCCCTCCGCGCGGCGGAAACTCAACCGGCTGCCCGCGGTGCGGAAAATCGGTTGGTTTACCGAAAGAACCACCACCACACTTTATCACTTTTTTCAACTTTTCACTGGCATGAAACGGAAAATGGTTGATTCAACTACCACTCGTTGGGCTGCGATACACCCCCGACATGTCTGAGCTCTGAGCTCTGAGCTCTGAGTCTCTGGACAGGAGTTTGGTAAGGCTTTCGTGGGGCTTGGCTCCATTTCTCATTCCCAAACTCCATCCAACACACTATCCGGACGGAACTGCGGATGTTGTTTCTCGAGGCGTCAGACTGTCAGAGACTCAGAGTTGCATCGTGAAGCTTCGTAGAGAATGGAGCAAGAAAATCAAGGGACCTAAACTGGGTCTAAACTGCAATATTTGGAAATAGGGTCCAGAACTCATCTCCACCCCCATTATCATCCCTGTCTGGGAGTTCCAGACCATCATGAACAGAGAGACCTGAGTAACCTTACCTTGGCTGCGGAAACCTACACGTCGGTATGCATCCAGATAGCCACTCTTGCCACTGCTACGCTAGCATGCTAGACACTTGGACTGCGCATATCAACCAGACAAAGACGAACAGGAAAAGGTAGAGAGTTTCGAGCGGTAGAGGAGACAGCTGCGTCCGGGGGAGAAATGCGGAGTGCAGTGTTGCTTTGCGCATGCGGTCCCGGTCCACCGGATTGCTCCTTTAGGAAATCCGAGATGCTCATCCCTTTCTCGTCCCTCCTTCATCCCCTGCTCATCCCTACTCCATGAGTCCATGCCACACCACCATCAGTCACTCACTGATACCAAGAGTGGCAGAGCCCAGAATGAGCATCAAACTATTTGCCTTATGTGACCATCTATGATGTACATGTATCTCTGTCTGCGCCACCAACAAATTGGAACCCAACAAGAACGAAGAAGCAAAACCCAATGATCGGTCAGCAAACCCAGCACTCAAAATGTCAGACAATCAAAGCATCTGATGTCTTCGTGACGCCGCAGGATCTGCTCGCCCCTCTTCGCCCTCCTCCCCCTATTCCGTGCTCGGCTCCGTACGGATATCCCGTAGGCTATCTCCTACCGCAAGTCCGCAACCCAGCACCCCGGGGGCCCGAACAACACAACGCGCAAGCCTGCGAGGGTTTGATGCTCTCGTGACTCTCGTGACTCTCGTGACTCTCGTGACTCTCGTGACTCTCGTGACTCTCGTGGACCTATACCGACACTCCCGGCCAAGACCCAAAAGACCACTTATCCTCCAGCCTCTCGTGCCTCCGCACCCCGGCGCCCTCTCCCACGCCATCGCCCTCGCCCTCGCCCTCGCCGCCCCCTTCCCTGGCGATCCACCGCTGCACGCCCCAAAACGCCTTGAGGTACGATATCCCCAGCGCAAAGTCCTCGAACCCGATCGACAGCCCCGTCACGGCCATCTTCCTCCTGACGAACCGCCCCTTGGCATCGGCCGCCGCGTTCGGGGCCGCCACCAGCATCACCCACAAGAACACCCCCGGGATCCCTTTCCATGTAGTCATGCTCACGCTCGTCAAACTGGCATACGCCGCCCGGAGCATCTCGGCGTCGTCGAACAGCGAAATCTGTCGCAGAGACTTAATGGACCAGCTGTAAATCACGGCGGCGATCCTGACGGTCTCGAGGATCCGTTCTTTTTCGGAGGAGCTGGAGGCGACTTGTGTGGGTCCCGTTGCTGCTGCTGTGCCTTTCTCCCGCAGCTTGTCGTACAGCCACGATGCGGTTGATCGAATCTTTGATTTGCTCGCCCCCGACGCCGATGCCGATGTGACGGACTCCGTGAGGAACCGCACGTCGTCCAGGATCTTGGCCGTCGCGGCGCAGATGCCGAGCTTCTCTGCGATGCTCTCGAACCGCGGTGCGGACGCCAGCAAGGGGCTGTCGTAGCAGTATGGCCACGTCGTCGGGATGGGGATTTCCTCGTCCCGAGCTGGGTCGTTTTCTAACCAGTAGAGATCCGTCTCAAAGGCACAGGCAATCTCATAATCGGTTCTTTTTGATCTTGTGTCAGCAAGAACTTACATGACTGGATACGAACTCACTTGAACTTACAGAATTAGGATGGATTCTCCTACAATGTCTCCCAGCCCTCGCATGCCTTTGCGAAGTTTAATCATGCGCTTGATGCCTCTCATGTGAGCGAACATGCTCTCATCGGCACCCCAAAACCACTGCGAGGGAAATTAGTGTCTCATTGGGGGCGGTTGATCAAGATGTTTTTGGGGACTAGAAGTTAAACTGACCTCCATAACGACCAGATTCACAATGCACCGGACCATCTCAGTCGCGATCGCATCAAATGGTCGCCGCATGTAGTCCGCAATCATTGACAGCACCCAGGACTTGAGGGCGAGCGACTCGGGACTCTTTGCGACTTCCACCCCTCGCTCGAGTGACTGAGTCATCGAGGACATGAGAATGCCAATGTTGGGAAACAGAGGGGATTGCAGCATCCACGGTAAGACCTCCGTGAGGAACACGGGCGGCTGGCTCTGGCCATCAATCGACACCATATTGGGCGCGACGAATTGGACGTCTGTGGGCAGACTTGTCAGCTACCGATGCTCCAAGGGTGATGACACTGAGGATCTTACAAAAATGTAAAAGCTCCGTCGTTCTAGGCCCTTCGTGGAGCGGCATGCCGTGAAGGGTCGTAACTTCAGTGAGGATACCGCCGATGGATGCGATACTATTGTGGAAGAAGGCCAGGGGGTCACCGTCTCCATCGAGAAAGAGGTTGGCGCGAGTCTTGCCCTTCGACACGGCCCTCTCCTCTTCTCGATTGTCCTCGCAGCAGTCTCCCCCGAGGCGTGCGTGATCATGATGGCTCGCGAAGCATCTCGACTTGGGCTCTCCCCTGTAGCGATTTCGGACGGGCAGTCTACCGGGTAAGTCCAGGGACGCGATGCCGAGTAACGAGGTGGCGCAGAGACCGTGGAAAGTCACCTCTGTCTGCTTCCCCGATCTCGAGGGAAGCGTGGACAGCTCAAAGTTGAGGACTTGTGTTTCGTACACCGGCTTCGGGATACATGGTCCGAGTTGGACAATGGTACACTCCACGGGCGGGAACCGCCTCGAGCAGTTGACGCACTGCGCGCCAGGCTGTCGGGTTATGCACTACCGCATCTCCATTCTTTAGTCTTGTGTATGAAATTGAAGTGATCAGGTTCCGGTCGTTCTTGGACATGTGATACCGTTACAGGGCGGGTGGATTGGTGTTGATCTGTGATGGGCCTTTGGTTAACTAACCTTCTGCTTCCGCCTCTGACACTCGGTGCACGACTTTTGGAGTCTCGCCCGTCTCTTCGGAGCGGATGGCAGCTTCGATGATTCAGAGGCCATGATATTCGGCTTATGATTCTCAGCTCAGCATGGTGAATGTGAGGCAGAGATGAGAGGGGAGTGAAGCCTCTAGATCGGACCTTTGAACCACTGACATGCCCTCAATTCAGCCACGGCTGAGGACTCAATGAGATTTTGGACCATGTCTCGATTGGGGGATAGTACGGGGATGGGCTGAGCCAGCAGGCCGCTTTTGATGTTCTCTCAGCACATTGCTTGCGCTACCTCATTTTTCCTTTTTCGGATTGATGCATTCGGTGCCTCAATCCTTTCCCCTCATTTTGTGTCTCATGATGGTCACGTACCACCTGTGCATTTGTTTCCATCATGACTGAGGCGTCGCACTTTGGAAGATCGACGACAGTTGGCGGCGCTTACTTGCATGAAAAGGCTGCCTGCGGGACGGGACAGATCTGTGGGCGAGATGATACCCAGCGGTGAGACGGATGGAAGAAGCGAGATGAATCTAGCACCTTCGACCGTTTTTTGCCCTGCCATTTAACACGCTAGAAGAAGATGATTGAGTTTATAATAGAATTGAAGTTCCGCATCACGGCATTTGCCTCAATTATTTCGCCATCAAACGCCCGTAGTCAATCATACTCCAGATACTCAATCGCAATGGCCGATCAGACACCAACAAATGTTACCGGCAGCTGCCTCTGCGGCTCCGTCAAGTACACCGTCGCCGGCGGATTCGGTTTCGGAGTCGTCTGCCACTGCAACAGCTGCCGCAAGTTTACGGGTTCGTCCTTTGGCGCGAACAGCTTAGTCGAGACAAATGTATGACACCCGCTTCACCCGCCCCTCCAAGGTCACATGTTCAGTTACTAACATATCAATAATTCCAGAACCTCACCGTCGACGATCCAGAGAAGAAAATCAAAGTCTACAAGGCCGGGACGTCCAACTCGGGCAACTCCCTGGCCCGCTCGTTCTGCGGCGCCTGCGGCTCTTCGCTGTTCGTCGTCAGCGACAAGGACCCCGGCCGGATCGCCGTCACGTCCGGGACGATGGATGACGCGCAGGGCGTGGAGGGTGAGGGTGTTGAGCTGTGGAAGCCAAAGTTGGAGTTTTTCTGTACTCGCAAGGCGAAGTGGTTGACGACTGCTGGGACTGCGCAAAAGGATACAATGTGAACGGGTTATGCCACTTCAGATGGCTTTAGTATTGGTGTTAGTCTGTGTTCGTGTGGTTGTGTGCAAGACGCAAAGATAGGAACCACGACATTGAAGTACGGGCCGTCCCGTTCCATCTCCTGACTGAGATACAATGCAGAGGCGGAGAAAAAGTTTCATCTGCCCTCCTTTGAAAGAGTCGCTTGCATGCTCGCTGATGTCACTCTGTCAGTGTTACATTGTGGCCGCAGCCTTCGGCTACTAACCTCCGGCGGCTCGTATCCCGTCATCGGCACCATCGGCCGTGTCGGGCGGCGGCGAAGGACTCCACCTCTCAAAGTGGAGATCGCATCCTCCGGCCGGGGGCGATCTGTGATTGCTGGAGAAACTTAGGCCGAGCTCAACCGCCGGCGAGCACCGACGAGCACCGACGAGCTGTTGGATGGAAAGCCTTCACGTGAGGTCAACTTCCAAAAAGTCCCCAACCAACTGCAATTCTATTCTTGGCACTGCCATCCTACCTTAGAGGTACCATCATTTCCATTGGAGATCGTCAATATGGCCTCTCATGAAGATGGACCAATCTTCCTCAACCCCATAATCCCGGGCTTCAACCCAGACCCAACAGTCTGCGTAGTGCCAGCAACAGAGTCAACCCCGACGACATATTTCCTCTCCACCTCCACCTTTGAATACTTCCCAGGCTGCGCCATATACACCTCAACGGACCTCATCAACTGGAAGCTCATCGGGCACGCACTCACGCGCAGAAGCCAGATCGAGCTGAGGACCGTCGAGACTGGTGCCGGGAGCTGGGCGAGCACGCTGCGCTATCGGCCCCATGAGAAGCGCTGGTATCTCGCCAATGGGCTGTTTCAGAGATATCGACCGACGAGTGATGTGAGCAAAGACCATGCTTATAATTATGGGACGATGTTCATGTGTATTTATAGGAGCGTATCTTTCCTCGGGGATTCTATGTTTGGACGGACAATATCTGGGATGAAAACTCCTGGTCAGATCCCGTGTACTTTGACAACCCCGGATTCGATCAAGACGTGAGTAGCTTGTTAGAACCATACATGACTACGACTAATCACAATCACAGCTCTTCTGGGATGACGACGGAAAGGTCTACCTCTCAACAACAGTCCGCATGGGAAAGCGAACCTCCGGCCTCAAACTAAAAGACTTTGCCATCCACATTTCAGAAATAGACATTTCCACAGGCAGAACGCTCACCCCGCCGCAAGTGATCCGTGAATCCCCACACGGAATCGCAGAAGGATCTCACATCATCCGCAAGGATAAGTTCTACTACCTCTTCACCGCCGAAGGCGGCACAGAAGCCGGCCATCAAGAGTGGGTCTTCAGAAGCCAAACGGGACCGTACGGGCCGTGGGAGGGGCAGGGCAAGGCTCTGTGGTACAACGGGCCCGACGAGGAGGTGCAGAGGACCGGCCACTGTGACGTTTTTGATGATGGCAGTGGTAAATGGTGGGCCGTGCTGCTCGGTGTCCGGCCCGTGAAGGTTGGAGAGAAGTATCTCGAGCCGCAGATGGGTCGGGAGACGTTTTTGGTGCAGGTTGACTGGGTGGACGACTGGCCCGTCTTTAACAAGGGTCGCAATATCACACTTCAAACTAGTGGCAGGGAAGCGATCCAGAAGGCCACCATTGCTGACGCTGACGGAGTTAAGTGGAAGGCAGATCTGTCCAGATCCTCCCTGGAGATTGGCTGGTATCACAAGAGTGAGTTTGTGCATTCGAAGCACTGCTTTCAGAGCTGAAGCTGATTTTGTCTTTCTAGATACGCCCATCAAGCCCTGCCATAGCCTGACGGAACGTCCCGGCTACCTGAGGCTCTACGGGAATTGCTTCGATCTCAATAGTCCCGAATCGCCCGCGATGATCTTGAGGAAGCAGACGTCTTACAGCGAAACCTTCAGGGCTACGATGCTCTTCAAGCCCAGTCGGGCAGGGTATGAATCTGGCATCACGGTCTGGTGGAGTCAGTACTCTTACGCCACCATTGGCATTGGCGCTGTTCAACCACAAGACGGAGGACCCGCCGTCCCGATAATCATTACGAGGGAGCCTACGGGTAAGGTCAATGAGCTCAAGGTACGTAATTGGCCACCTGATTCCTTTCGGGACTCTTCCTAATGATCAAAGGTGACGCAACCCCTGTTGGACTCGGGAGTACCTGCCCTTGATTTAGATCAGCCAGTAAAGCTGTCAATCACCGCCAATTCCTCCGACTATGAGATAAATCTCTCAGTGAATGGGGTTACGACGACCAAGATTTTCAAATCAGAGGCATTGACCGTCTTCCCTCCCGTAGGAGGGGCGTTCTGCGGCGTCATGTACGGGATTTACTCATTCGGCCAGAGTGAACCAGTGCTGGACCCTTCAGATTTCACAGACATTGAGATCCGAGAAATCTGACCGGCAAAGTAAACAAGATCATAAGGCTGGTCAATCTTGTGCTGTACTCTGCGCCTTCGGTAGATTGCTTCTGTGGGATATCAGCTGGGTTGAAACCCCAAGCAATAAAACAGCCAGCCAGGCGTTCTATAGACTTGATAGCGTCTGGACCGGAGCATTTTGGATTCTTCCCCAACAGCCTGGATCTCATCCCAAGTTATTTTGAGTTGGAAGTAAGCTCATCTCGGCGCGTGAAAGAGCTTCACCTACACAGACCTCCTTTCGGACTTCTTCAACCTCGGCGCCGCCCATCCTGCAGAGTCGCGAATGCTACCTTACTTTGAATCATGTTGCCGTTTACCTTCCAACAGTCCGAAAGCTACAGTTTTCAGCTTCTGAAAGTGCCGCTTTGATGTTCCTTTTGGAGTGACTAATCTCATGGTGTACTGCTCCGAAGTTCGTATGATGTAGCTATTGTGCTTGGTAAGCCACAACTTTGAGTCAACGTCAAGTGAGATGAGTACACGTACTTTTAGTTCCTTCCTTGAAGTAGTTTCTCTCGTGCGTGGAAGTCGTAGAAAGCCACAGCAGAGAATCGCTCCATCACCATGGCATCCTTCATAAAAACAGAACACTACGAACCCTACCCAGAACTGTCCCCTCACCTCCTCCAAACACAATTCACCAACAAAACAGTCGTCATAACCGGAGCCGGCTCCGGCATAGGCGCATCCACAGCCCGCAGCTTCGCCCAAGCCAACGCCGCAAAACTCATCCTCACCGGCCGCACCGAGTCCACCCTCCAGCAAACATCCGCCGCCCTCAGCGCAGACTTTCCCGACATAGAAGTCTCTCTCCGTGCAGGCAGCGTCTCCTCCCCGGAACACGTGGCATCCCTCTTTGCAAGCCTAGACCGCTCCCCGGATGTCCTTGTTAATAACGCCGGGTACCTCTCCGAGCCGGTGAGCTTCGTCGACGCGGATTTGAAGGATTGGTGGCAGGGCTTCACGACGAATGTGTTTTGGCACGGCGCTGATGACGCAGACGTACCTCCGCCACCGGAGGGGCCTCAAGACTGGAGCCTATGACGAGAAGCCGGGTGTGGTGATCAACATCAACACGAAAGCGGCGTACGTATTCCATATCCCCGGTATGAGCAGCTACGGCGCAAGCAAGGCCGCGATGCTGCGCCTGGCGGAGGTCATCGCTGACGGCGTCCCGGCGTCTGAAGCGCGCGTTGTCTCGCTTCATCCTGGCGCGGTGCAGACGGCCCTATTGACCAAGTCTGGGCTGAAACGGAAACTGACGGATGAGAGGCTGGCGGGGGACTTTGTGGTTTGGAGTGCTTCGGAGGAGGCGGGGTTTTTGAATGGGCGGATGGTGTGGGTGAATTGGAATGTCCCCGAGTTGGTTTCGTGGAAGGATGTTATTGTCGAGAAGGATTTGTTGAGGACTAGCATCAAGGAGACTAAGTTGTGCGAGGGGTTACTAGCTGTTGGGGATGACTTGGTGCGATGTTTCCATGTTGGTGTTAGTTCAACGGTCTTCCGATGTAAGGCTTCTAATACTTACATCTATTCGTTCTGACTCCCAAGGGGGGGTGTGCTCTTGCATGTGGCAAGTTGAATCATCCGATCGGAAGCCTCATTCTTGGAACACAAGCAGTAATGTTCCATTCAGTGGCGCAGCTTCACTCATTAAACGTTGTACAGTTTTCTCAAGTTCGTGGCTCAATATATACATCGAATCGAAGGGCTATTTACGGGTTTAGTCAGACGACAGCAACTCTGACATAAAGACCAACCACCACATCCTCACACGAGAAAACGCCGGTGACATTTCTAGTTGGTTTCGGCGACGTGGTTGGTGACCAAGCAAGTCCACTCATCGGTACCGTAGTAAATAGTGTTGCCGTCATTGTGCGACTGGCCGGTGCTAATCGTGTCTCCAAGCTGCCAGAAAGCGTCGCCGGCCATGCCCGCGGTGGCGACGGAGGCGATTTGCCATGGTCTCTCGATCGTGCAGTGGTCTGACGGCGCGCCGTCTATCATTTAATGGCTTTGGTCAGCATTCCTTCTACTTTTTCCTGTGAGATCACTGTGCCTGGTTTGCGACGTACATTCTTCAAAGAAGCAGGGCTTGTTCGCGGCAACGCAGGCCTTTGCGTGGTCAGCCACCCACTTGGCGCCAGTGTCGTATCCAACGCTCCCTATAATTCGTTAGTGACCTTCCACTTATGCCTCACTATCGTGAGTAGACTTACATGAGTTGGGGTAGAAGTGGAACGTTCCAAAGTCCCTAAAACAAAAATCAGATATTAGCATCACGGGACACTACCACGGAGACCAAGTTCGAGGGGGGGGGGGGGGGGGGGGGGGGGGCCAACGTACAAGGTAGTAATGTTCAACAGACCAACCCAGTCCGTTCCCTCACCGTACTGGTAAGGGTAAGAAGTGTCGCCAGGCAGACCCATGCCCTCGTCGCCGAGCGTCACCATGTGGTTGGGGTCCAGGGACTTGACGTAGGCGGACGTGGTCTTTGCCCAGTTGTAGATGACGGAGGTAGCGCAGCCCTGGCAACGGGGCTCGTTGGCCAGCTCCCACGCGAAGATGGCGGGGGACGCCTTGTACCGGTTGACTACGGTCTGGACGTACTTGAGGTACTGCGTCTGGGCCGCCGTGTTGGTGTACCAGCCGTTGTGGTCGCCTCCGAACGCGTTGACGTAGGCATTGATTCCGCCGTAGTCGTTCCTAAGACATATATCAGATGTGGCCTTGAAGGGGTGTTTGGGGAGGAACTCACCAGTTGTTGACAAAGTTGATGATGAGCTTGATGCCGTTCTTCTCAGCGGAAGCGACGACGGCATCCAGGCGTCCGAGGCCGTTTTCGCCCGTGTTGATTTGCGAACCCGACGCACTCAGGTATTGGAACCCTACTCAATCATTAGTACTCTACAGACAAAGACTGAGAAAGCCTAGGAATGCTTCATACAGTTGTCATACTGGGGAATCGTGTTGACGTCGTTGAAACCCCAAATACGAAGGATCCGGAGACCAGAGGTCTTGAGATGGCCCAGGACGAGGTCCACGTCGGCCGCGTTGGTGAGGAAACTGCACCAGTAGCAGTTGGTACCGGGGTAATACTTCGCCACGCCGTCGATGCTGAACTTGGTGCCGACGGCCTTGGGGAAGCCTGTGCTGGGCGGGTTCGTGGCCGAGGACGTCCGGGATGTCGTGCCGACGGACGAGGTAGTTGCCGCGCCGGTCCAGGTCGCGAGGGTGCTGGAGCGGAAGGTCGTCGTCACGGCGGAGCCTGATGATGTTGGTTAGTCTCTGTAACTCTTCTGGCCGAGGCATTGGAGAGACATACCGGGGAGACACTGCGAGTACCACTGGTTGCTATACGTGCAGACTGACCCGGCAGCGCAGGTCGTTGCCCCGGTCCATCCCTGGCCACCGCATTGTCCGTACAAGGGCGCCTGTGCAGAGACGGCGGCCGCGAGGGTGAGCGCACCAGCGACTGCGGACTTCATTTTGAAGGTTCTGTCGATGATGTGTTGTGGTTGTGAGGAGAGAGAGAGAGAGAGAGACTGGTATTCCTCTTGTGTCAAACCGGTGGGATGGCCACCCATATTTGTATTCACGAGGGTCCAGAAGTCATCTCCGCTTCGACAGAGCTGTCAATATCGGGAACCGCCTCGCCGGATCGACGTCTTCCATGACTCCCCTCTTTGAAAAAGGCTTGTCATGCTAAGACTTTTGGAAATTCCATCAATGGCGTCTCGGGAACACGGGCGGATGTAGCCATATCGGATGGGGCCTGGGTCCCTGGATCGACTATGGACTAGTCTGGTCCGCAAATCGAGGGGATGGTCACCCAGGAAGGGGACGATGTGGAGGGGCAGGGCCGCAGGAACGAGCAGACAGATGTATGATTCAGTTCAGCTCTGGTGAAGGGGTGGGCCGACGGGGCCGGTACGACTTGGTTTCTGCGTCGTATTGCATGCTTTGAAAGGGTATCGTGGATGCTCCAGACGGGACTACCGGGAACCAGACACCCACGATCTACGGTTGCGAATCCCGTCGATCCACCACGCGGTTATCTCAGAGTCTAAGTGGTGAAGTGAGCAATTACCAGCCTTCCCAACAGCCACCATAGTAACTTGGTCAAATCACTGTGTGTGATGAGAAGGGAGAGCGAGGTTAGTGGCGAGACATTCTGACCTAGTTCTTGTCAAAAAAAGTGAAGAACAAACAAGAATGAGGCAGGTTGCGACTCTTGGTGTAAGTTCCGCCTCGACGTATGGGGCTGCAACGGCGGAGCGTCGTCCGCCGCAACCCGCATTCGAATAAATTCGCCGGCGTTGACCCCGCTAACGGACATTGGCCACGCCGAGCTCTACTCTGATGGTTTCCTCCAAAAAAGACTCAATTGCGAGCATAGAGTACCGTTCCTGTTAGTTGAGAAGGACATATAAGCTGGGAATTCTGACTTTCACACCAAAAGGCCATTATTCGTGTATCTTTTGTACTTGTTTCCTGGGTCATGCGGAAATTACACACCCTTGCTTGATTGAATATTATAAAGCACAAGGTCGTTAGGTGTAATGGGGAAGCCAGAATTCAACGTTTGTAATGCAAAACGACGACAATTTCTTCTCTCTGCATCTTACATACCTAACTGCGTATTCCTATATTGGAGTATTCCTATATTGGAGGAAGGACACTTACATCTCTTCTCCTTCGCTTGTCACTTAGCGGCTGGGGATGAATGGCTAAATGGTCATAAGATGGCGTGCCGACTATACCTGCTGTTCATTACTTGATGTCAATCACCGCTACCCTTTCCGATTCATGATGGACGTCTTTTCATTTTCTAGTTGTGTTGGAAGGAGCAAGGCGGTCTCGGTACCTCACTTACCAACTTCATCCGATCACTTTTCCCACCACCTGAATAGCGACTGAATACGCACTCGACCAGAATACACAAGAAGGCTATATACCCCCCTTCAAACCCATTCCTGTCACCAGCCAGCAGGTGCCCGTCTAGGTCGACGGGTCGGGTCAAACTGGCTGGGTGGTGAAGTGGTTAAAGTCGACAATCAAGCACGCCCAGAGCCTACTCGACGACAGGCTACGAGTTCGAGTCCGCATACGATCCCAGCATGAGCACCAAGAGATGTAGCCCCCAAATCGGCACCACCGGGGGGGGGGGTGTGGGGGGTTTGTGAACTCTTTTTTGGTTTCGGCAGAGCTTGTATTTAGGTGAATGAATTGTGTGTGTATGGTCTCGAATGTTGGCTTATTTTCGTAGTCCAAGTATTTTTACGTCAACGCACCAGATGAACTCATTGATAATGTTGTCATTACTTCAGCCTTTCCTATAGAATTCAATGAAAGTTCATCGTCGACAGCACTCCTACGCGAACGAGGTTATTCAAGACAACACGATAAGCTCAAGCAAGGTGTCGGTTGACACGGAAACACGGGAAGGTGCACGGCCCAGTTTGCGGGGACAGCTTGGCGCCACACTCGGACCCCGAGTGCCTGATGACATAAGATAACAAGCGGGACGATGACGCGGTTGCACAGCCTCAAATGGGATCATCAGCCCCTGAGCTGCCTCCATCCCCCGTCCTACTGTACAGCGAACTGTTCGCTGCCCATTCCCATTTTCATATTGCAATCCAGTTCTTTCTTATTTTCATCACCCGACCGAAACGACGTTTGACAACTCTAAACACTACCTGCCCAATATATACTCACTGATCGATCCCCCTGTCAACCCGACACTCCGGCCTGTCTCACTCTTTCAATACCCACCTTAGAAGGCATCACCAACCAAAAATGTCACGCTACTCCCATCTCGACACAGACGAGGAACGTCTCCCGCACGGCATGCGCCGCGTAGGCTACGACGCCGACACCCAAATCTACACCTTCCAAGACGCAGACGGAAGCTACTGGGAAGGCGCGCCCGGCGCTCAATACGGCCAACTCACCCAAGTCTCGGGCGCCTCATCCGCCGCCGCCGGCGTGGCCACCGAAGAAGCCGAGCCCTTTATGCAGGGCGGCGAGCTCAACCGACGACGGAACCCATGGGACGATAGAAAAGGGTGGAGGCATGAGATGAGGCCGCTGCTCAACTTTTTCGTGCTCATTGGGCTTTTCCTGCTCGTTTTGACGTGGTGGCTGTATCGTACGCCGTCGTCGACGGGCGGGGCCGAGGAAGAGGAGGAGGTTGCGGTGCCGCAGTGCGGTGGGCTGGCGGTGCCGTATAAGATTGAGATTGGGAATACGTGTTGGGCTATTGCTGAGGGCCAGAAGATGACGATTGAGGATTTGCTCAAGGCGAACGAGGGTTTGGATTGCGATAAGCTGATGCCTGGGAGCTTTATTTGCATGCCTACCTTGGGATAAGGCAGGATGGCGGTCTCCCCGAAATGAGGATTGCGGATGTCCATTTGCTGCCGGATACCCCCCGAGGAGGAATATTCTTTTTTGTCGTTTTGTTCTTATACCTTTCATCCTTGGTATGTACTTTGTTTCTGGGGTTC